TCTGTCTGTCTGTCTATCTATCTATCTATCTATCTATCTATCTATCTATCTATCTATCAATCTATCTATCTATCAGTTTTAAAAGGTTAGTGTGGATTGGAATAATGCCTGCTGTTTCACTTATCCGTAAATAGTAGGCAGTATATACAGTATACACACTTCAATAAGTAGTTATAGCTAGTATGTTTATTAATCAATCAATCAGTCAATCAATTAATCAATCAATCAGTCAAACTTGTCATCTTTGCCACAGTCGTTTTCACCTCATTTTTAGTAAACAGATCGAATCAACTTGCCAGACAGATTGATTGTTGATTAACTGCTGCTTAAATGAGGAAATAATGTTTTCTTTGACACTTTTCGTAAGTAATTTTCACAATAAATATTTTGTGGGCAGATTTTGCTTGCAACACCCTTTTAAAAAATCATGGACAAAGTCTGCTTACATAAAGTGCTGAGTGTTTAACAGCACAAAAACATCTCTAAGTGAATTAGGGGCTCTCAGGGAGTCCAGTACGCATTCATTTGACTCCAGATGTTGGAGCACCTCACAGGATCGAGTGCTTCTCTGGGTGTGGTTTAGGGGAGAGACTGACTGCGCTTGTTTTATCATTCCGCTCACCTGAGCCTTTGCCAAAACTGGAGGCGGGAGCGTATATATACACTGTATATATATAACCCAAGACATGATAGTGAGTGAGAATCATTCAGACTCAAGGAGCATCTCTCCACTGGCTGTGGGTTATTTCACATCAACATGTATATAAACGCACCCGAATCGTGCAATTTCATGTTTTTATTTTGCTTTATAATAAGGAGTGGTCTGACTTTGAAGAACGATGCTACGGAGATTTTCTACTCTCATGTGGCCAGTCCCGTGCAGGATGCTCAGAGCAACGCGTCTCTGAATCGCGCGCGCTCCGGTGGAAGAGGCTTCACAGCGCACGAGAGAGGTGAGTTCATGCGCCCCGCTTACGACACTAGATTGCTTATTAATCATATATTGCAGTCTTTCTTAAGAAATTGTGTTTAAAGCTACGTTTAATTTACAATTAACATTTAAAATAAAATGTCTTATTGGCATTCCCCATATAAAGTGAGAATTTTGTTTGGTTTGCATTTCTTCACACGCTTGATAGATGTAATATCAATTACGCTGAACAAATGGTAAGATCTATTTTCTAATTTAAGTCAAAAGTATTATTTAACCTCACTGAATCAACCGAGATAGGCTACATTACTTTATACAGACACAACAAACTTTTATGGGTTAAATTCAGCTCTTTGAGGTACAAATGACAGGCTACTACTTTTTATATATATTTTTAGCAACCTGAAAATAGTTAAAAGTTATCTTATAACCAAATATTGGTTTCCATTATTTGTTTTTGATCAGGTGAAGTAAATGTTTTAATATTTACAGTATGTGCTCATTCATAAAATAGAAAGCAAACAGAACAGGTGATTTTATCCATATAGTGATAATGGTAGGGGAGACTGGGGCTAGTTGTCACACTTTGTACTCTGGTGAATATTTATTTCAGAAGTTTGTCTCTAAAGGTCATTTTCTGTATAGACATATGTTGAAGACTTGGCCATCTTCCACTGTAATTGCCCGGGAAATAGATACAGGTCATTTAACATTTGTTTATGTGTAGTGGGGCATGTTGTCACAGTGAAACCTACCATTAAATAGACTATTATTGACTTTTCAGCAAACTTTAAGCAGTAATGAATCATGAAACACCATTTCAATTAACATTGAAATGTATTAATGATATGCAATTAATTGGATGTTCCAATCTAAGGGAGAAAGTTAGCTATGCATGATAGCTATGCATATGGAAATGATATGGTTTACACAGTCTCTTGGCTCACAACCACATCGAGCAGCAGAGATAAAAGAGTGCCAAGCACAATGTTCTCTGAGTGAATCTTGTCAGACTTGGAGAGTGGAGGTGCAGCTCAGCTTTTCAGGAAGTCTCAGGGAACCGTGTTTGTTTTTGGAACGACCGTAACTTGAAGTGGGGAGAAAGAAAAAGTCCCTCCGATCCCCATTCATCACGTCCTGTCATGGAGAGGGGGGCACATTGTAACTGAGGTTTGTTGCTGCTGTGTGAATGGATTTTGGCTTGGGTTACGCTGACAGGAGGCTCTTCTCTGAGGCAGAACAATACTGACAGTATAGCCAGCAGCACCGGCGAAATCTGAAAATAAGAGGCTCAGAGTCGTCATTCATCTGTATGCTAAACCATTTCCGCTCAGTTCAGATAAGGGCTTAAGTAAAGCAAACCAAGCATATCATCCATACCACTGTTGTTTATGTCTGCTCACCAACCGTGAAGAAACAGCACCAAGGTGAATCCTATCATAGATCTTAAAAGACTTGAGTTGATCTGATATTGATATGCAAAGTTGGCTAAATGTTATTTATCACTTTGCGTTACAGAACGAATCCCAGTCGGCTGCAGAGAGCTGCGATCCACAAAGTACATCTCTGATGGCCAGTGCACCAGCACAAACCCTGTTAAGGAACTGGTGTGCACAGGACAGTGTCTTCCAGCTCAGATGCTGCCCAACTGGATCGGCGGATATGGTAGGAAGTTCTGGAACCGCCGAAACAGTCAGGACTGGCGCTGCGTGAACGACAAGACCCGCACCCAGCGGATTCAGCTCCAGTGTCAGGATGGCAGCTCCAGGACCTACAAGATCACAGTGGTGACCTCCTGCAAATGCAAAAGATACACGAGGCAGCATAACGAATCGGGGGTCAAGTCTGAGGGATACGCTCATACCCAGATAAAAAAGCAAAAGAACAAAGGGGGCACCAGGACGGAAAGCTAAATGAGTCTGTGCTCGGACTGAGCTAGATTTTTCCTTTTAAAAGAACTCAGTATGAACGAGAGAGCTTGTGACGTCAGCTCACAGGAGCACTGAACTTTCTTTGTGCTGCCTTTGAGAGCAAGTGCAGGGCTCTGAGTTCACTGTGAAACCAGATGTCCACTGCAGTCTTTGGAAAGAAGAGAAAATAAAGACTAAATATCATCACCAATATAATCTCAATCAACATGCAACCAGTAGTGAAGACCTGTCCATAATAACGTCAAAGAGACTGACAATGACAACTGCATATTACATTACAAATACGTTTTTTGTCGTCACTGCCTGATGTGTGTGGTAATCACTTGCTGTAGTATATACTGTAAGTCTTTGTGTTCAGCGACAATAAGAGCAGTTCTCAAACCCGGGAAATGCATAGCTACATGTAAATTAAATGTCTGTACATATACATATGCAATTGTTTATGTAATTGATTGTTTTGCAGGACCTTTATGTGTAATATTGTGACGTATAAGCTGATGTAATATATTTTGCCTTGACTTTGCTCTGACTTTGAAACATTTTTAGTTTGTGCAAGCATTATTCGGACAAGATATTGCACTATAGTGACAATGCTCATATTGGCTATTATGGTGTAAAAGCATTAAAATTAAAACATCTAAAAATGTCTGAGTATAATTTACATCTGCACGAGGTGACATTTTGAACTCCAAATGATGCCTATTAACTGAACTACAAGGTCCATTAAATCAATATATTAACATGCCTAATTTTTGTTTCATGCATAACAAACATGGTTTATATAAAATAAACTAAAGAACAGGTGAGGAAATTCTTTGTAAAAATAGTGAAAATTATTATCGAACTAAGATTATCATTAATAATAATAAAAAATAAAATTTTAAATGCCTCTTTCATGTGCAAACAGGCATATAAAGACAAGGTGGTGTTAACAGGCAATATTTAATAATTTACATTTTCACCAACTACATGTAAATTAAATGTCTGTACATATACATATGCAATTGTTTATGTAATTGATTGTTTTGCAGGACCTTTATGTGTAATATTGTGACGTATAAGCTGATGTAATATATTTTGCCTTGACTTTGCTCTGACTTTGAAACATTTTTAGTTTGTGCAAGCATTATTCGGACAAGATATTGCACTATAGTGACAATGCTCATATTGGCTATTATGGTGTAAAAGCATTAAAATTAAAACATCTAAAAATGTCTGAGTATAATTTACATCTGCACGAGGTGACATTTTGAACTCCAAATGATGCCTATTAACTGAACTACAAGGTCCATTAAATCAATATATTAACATGCCTAATTTTTGTTTCATGCATAACAAACATGGTTTATATAAAATAAACTAAAGAACAGGTGAGGAAATTCTTTGTAAAAATAGTGAAAATTATTATCGAACTAAGATTATCATTAATAATAATAAAAAATAAAAATTTAAATGCCTCTTTCATGTGCAAACAGGCATATAAAGACAAGGTGGTGTTAACAGGCAATATTTAATAATTTACATTTTCACCAACTGTCAATCATCAGCTGTCATCACAGAAAGACTCTATGACAAGCCATTTAAAACTAGTTAACTTTTTTATTAACTATTTTGAATTAGTAACCACATGCAAGTGTATTAGTAACTCATTTTACTATTGCTTATAGTTTCTTTTTCAATAAAATGGAAATGACTATTAATCATGTACTATTTATTATTTAGTTTACTGTAACAATTTAAATAGTCAGTTTTCCAGTATTAATCGAATAAACCTTAGTATAATTAATTAATAGTAACATGATGTCTAATTTTAAAGTGAACTATGAAGTCATTCTGACTCATAACAAAAAGTGACAAAATAAATTTACAATTAACAATTTTAGAGTTACTAGTAACTTGTTTTAATACTACTATTTAAAAAAATGCTTGTAACTAGGCATACTAGTAGCTAATGATTAGTAGGTACTAGTTAAAGAACGTTAAAGAAATGCATGTTAAAACGGCGTGCCATAATTCGGTAAATTAGAAAATAAATCCTGAAAAAAATATTTAAATGTCCTTGTCCAGAAAAAAATATACAGTTTATATTTCACATGTTGACCTGTTGTACATGTATTTTGATTCGGAATATCATTTTATAAAACATTAAATTATGCTATACAATGAGATGAGATCCCAGCTGCTGCATTGTCTTGGTGAGTGGATACCAGGCTCACTCTGAGCAACGGCGGGAAAGCTGCAACACTACTGCCGCGAAACATAGCTCAAATCACCCGCCGAATGGCGATGCAGAAAGTCTGTTAACAGCTTCTTCCCATGAACACGGCTGCCACAAGCGAGGAGCTTATTAGCACGCTGGAGAAATGCAGCAGGAGCGCTGTTCTTCCTCCGACAGGCCTCTGGATCCCGGCTGTCTGCTGGAACGCGACGCCGAGCGGAGCGCGGACCGGCTCGGTTGCGCGGCGGTGGATTTCCCGGTAGCTGTAGTTCTTCCCGCCGGTGGCTCTGGGGAAAGAATGGGACTGGCCACACCGAAACAATTCTGCACCATTCTCAACAGACCTCTGATAAGCTTCACGATTCAAGCGTTTGAGAGGTGAGACTTGATATTCCGTGTCAGAGAGCACATGAAACTGATTTTATTAACCTGCATACTCGACACGTAAGTTTGTTATTTGCAGACGAAAACAGAACAACAATAAATCATTATGCCTGTCACAATTACGTCCGTTAGTTTGACAACTGGACTTTTTTCCTCCCAAGTAAACAGGCAGCAGTCCAAGGACACGTACTACATGTAGATCTTGTCCAGAACAGCTTGTTCAATCCTTATTAAGAACATCTGCAGATGCTGCAAGACTTGGGAAAGGCTAAAAGCAATTGACATTGACTTGGCATATTTAATAAATTGCACTGTGAAGTAAAAGGTTGCTGTGAGTTTCATATTCAAAAAGCTGTCACTTCAATTTTCAGGGACAAAAGCATAAACTTAGAGCTGTTGTAATTCATTTTTGGAATATTACATTTAAGTGTCCAGACTATTTGACAGATGTGGCCTAAATTAGCATACCTGAAATATTAAATTACACTTCTCTCTGTGTCCTAATATATGTACATCCATACACTCTAGTATGCAGAAAAAAGCATATCAGAAGAATAGGATGTAAGTAAACAGTACTGTACACCGATGGCCTACTGTAAGTTATTTAATTTGATCTTATTTTGTTTTTCATTGTCGTAATATGTATGTTAATGTATTCCTACATAGTTCTTTCATGGTTGAGAACTTAATTAAATTCAGTACACAGGTTGCATTGAAAATCACATACTGTGATAACTGAGTAGGTACTTCTGTTATATAAGTACTTACTTCATGTATGTTCTATATATTATGAATGTGTGTATAATGTATAATGTTATGTAATGTTATTGGCATAAGTACATCTGGATACTTTTTGCTTACTGTTTTATGAATACTATGAATTTAGAGACTATACTACTCTTGAAGGGTACAACTGATGGACACTTCGCTCCCATGATTCTTTGCACACGTTTAATTTGTTAAACCTTAATTGGCTTGGCAAGATGACGCAGATGTGCGTTCCAAGGAACAGTTTTATGGTCCCCTACACCAGGGGTTCTCAACTCTGGCCCTCAAGACCCATTTTTCTGCTGAGTTTAGCTCCAACCTTTAGCTGTGTTTAATTAGGTTTGGAGCTAAACTCTGCAGGAAAGTGGATCTCGTAGTTGAGAACCCCTGCCCTCTGGAAAGAATAGGGATGAGTATGAGAATAAATATAATAAAAAAAACTAAAAAAAAACCCAGAACACCCAAGCGAATGTATAACTAACAATGCACTCAAATGCTCAAAACATCTTACAAGCTGCTTAACAACACACTGACAACCAACAACAACATCCTAGGCTAGGATTCCTAGCATTGTGGAGGGTTTACAAAGGGTCATATGGAAATTTAGCTGTTTTTGTAATTTTGTTTGATGACACGAGGCATCATTAAGTAAAACTATTATTATTTATTTATTTTTTGTTAATTGAAAGACAGCAGAAATAAAATGTAAATGTGTAAGGAAAAACTTTAAATGAAAATGAGAAATATTGCCTTGGCAGCTAACTGACATTACTAAATAGAAATAAAAACTTGAACTATAACTAAAACAAAAACAGATGAAAATAAATGAAACCTAAATACACACGCTTGTTTGTGTCAAAATGCTCGTCTTTACAAGTATCCTCGTAAACACAATAATTTAGGTCTTAAGTGAAAGCAAACAGTTGAGAAAGAAAACGTGTAGCAGTATATTGGATCCGGGCAGCTCTTAAAGTGACAGCAGTCTAATATTCCTGCTCTCTGTAACTTTAATAAGAAGAAATATATATGTAATTTACACAGTGAGGAATATGCAGTTTTATATGTATATTTGATTACTTTATACAATATATGTAGCATTTCTTATTTATTTGTTCTACTGTAGTTTGACACTGGTGACAAGAATTTGACATTTCTATGGCATCAAAAATTAGACCTTAATTTAGACCTTATTTAAAGCAAAAATAACTGTATTGTGATATATATCATTACCGTGAAATAAAATCACTCATATCGTGATATTAGATTTTGGTCATACCACCCACCCCTACCTAAATGGAAGTATTTGGAAAAAACAAAAACTAGAAAAAAGCACATAATGAAATTAATAAAAATTAAAATTATGTTGATTTAAAATATGAACAAAAACTATATTAATATGTAAGTAATACTAAAATAACTGCTTAAAGCAGTATAACATACAATTTGTTCCCTTATTCTATTGTCACAGCGATTGTTGTTTCTTTTGATAGTATTTAAAACTTGACAAATGAAAGCTGTTTGTCTGCATTTTCTCGACAGATTATCCTGGATTGGAACTGTTGTCGTTGTGGTTGCTAAGGAGAATCATGACTTGATGCTGAATATTGTCCAGAAATGTAATCACACAAAGGCAAAAGTAGTCCACGGGGGAACCAGCAGACACAGGTCAATCTTCAGCGGACTTCAGGCCTTCAGCAGCACTACAGACTCACTGACGCCCAAACCAAAAGTGGTCATCATCCATGATGCTGTACGGCCCTTTGTGGAAGAAGATCTTTTGTTGAAAATCACCCTAGCAGCTAAAGAGCAAGGGGTTTGTTTTCTTTATCCAGATTTTGTTTCAAAATAGTGCATTTGTATGGCATTTAATAACAGTGGAGAAAAAAAGAAAGAAAACCCCTACTGTATGTTTATTTATGCCCAAGAGAAATAATATATTCTATAATATAAAAGCCCCAAAATTGAGGTAAATTATGTACAAGTTAAGATTTAATTCAAATATACCTTTTTTTTCTGTGGCTGTCATTTGGAACAATTCATTTTAAAACACTCCCTGAAATGTTTGTGGTGATGAATTTCCACACTATCTGAACACTCCCTCCCCTAATCTGCTGTACCACGGTCTACATATCTGTCAAATTTATGAGGTGAGTGAAAGTCAGACCACGTTAAGCCGTCAAAAGACAATTCCTGATGCAGGCTTCAGAGATATGCGTGAAGCTGTTATATAATAATTATGGAAAAACCCCAATCAGAGAAACTTTTAAATATATGCTACAGAACAAGAATCCGCTACATACAGTGGGTACGGAAAGTATTCAGACCCCCTTAAATTTTTCACTCTGTTATATTGCAGCCATTTGCTAAAAT